CAAAGAACATTTTAAACCTGAATTTCAGGAAATACCAAATGAATCAATTATCTTTACAAAGTAAATCCTACTTCACTTATGAACACTGCTTGGCTATATTTGTTCCAAGCCCTATTTGCTATATTTTTTCCACTCAATCTCTTTAAATCTCCTCCCTCAAAATGTGCAATATATCCCTGGGACTTTTAAATCATTTGAATTGTTTACATTGTACAATAGATAGTTTGTAAATACTCCTCTCTTTCTCATACCATACAAGGTAAATGAAGGATGAAAGACACAGCAACTACATAATAACAATTTTAAAATTCTGCTTAAAATCTAACTTCTGCAACATAGTGAAATCCCCAAGTTGGATGCCCAGAGTTTGCTTCTACTGTGGACAGTTTAATAATAGCCTATGCAAAAATTCTCACTGACAGCAAGGTAACAAAGAAAGAAGACAGAGCTAATTTGAGCATTAAACTACAAAATCTGAACATTTAACCTAAACACTCAAGTTTGAAAACTGGGCTCCTGATACCCAAGGACCAAATTACCCCACACTTATTTTGAATTGCATATTACTTCAGAAATAGTCCTATTGACTTCAATAGGACTCATCACAGAGTCAAGTGGTACACGACAAGCAAGAATGAGACAATCCTGTTCCAATTAATATAAGCCTGACCTTTTCCTTCCATGATTCTCCTCCAGTGTTCTACTGGAATCTCCCATCTCTCTTCTCCCACTAATTAACATGACACAAATAAAGCAGACCACTGAACAACTGCACTAATTGGGGCTGATGGTGACAAAAATATCCAGTTGATCAGTAACTGTATGATGTAACTGTTACCTCAGTGTGCTCCTGTAGTAACAGAACCAGGGGAGGGGGAAGGAAATCACTGAAACTTTAATGCTGTTCAACCCAAGTTAAATTTACAACAATTTAGCTCACTATCAAGAAGAGCATTCAGAAGTTTAACAATTATATTGTAACAGCTGGTGCACTCTCATAGGAAGCAACTCCCACCCCAAATTTGGAAGTGATTAAAAGTTACTGCTGGCCATAGCCAGAGATTATATTTTTAAGTGCTTAGTTAGCAGTGCTTTTACAAGCTCTCACTAATGGCAAAAAAATCCTGATCAAAAAGAAGCACAGGAGCTCTTTATAGAACTGCATTGCAAGAGGCATGTGTGCCAATGTGCCGCCAACTGGAGTACGGTTGTTCAGCATTCCACTATAGCTACAGTTCAATAACGTAATTCTGCTATAAGTGAATTCTGACTGATAATGAACTTATGTTAACTGCATCAATTAGATGTTGGACCCACTGAAGACCAACAGTAAAGGCTGGTACTCCCAAAATGAGTCCCTGCAGATATGAAAGGTGATTAGACCTGTCAGTAGCCACAAACCTAATGGACTATTCCCAGGATGGGTTCCCTAATTATTTTTTTCACCACACATCTGGACATGTAACTATTATTTACCTTTTTCAGCAGATACACTTTTATTTTAGTGTAAACTCAAAAACAGTATCACAAAGATAATTGCCACTCACTACAATTAAATGACTTCCTCATATTTTTACTTCTAATGAAAACTGCATTTCTCAATTCCAGCCAGAAACTCTGCTACAGCCTATTAAACGTGAGACACCTGGGAGCATGGCCAGCATCTGAAACAGCACAGCTGAAGGGTACTGCCATTTCACAGGGTCTCCTTAGAAAGTATTTGCTTTGCCTGTCTAATGTTCTAAATATAGCAAAGCACACAGGCTATATCCATCTCATTCTCGAGTATTCATGCTAGACAAGAGCTGCACACACTTTGCAAAATCCAGCACTTCTTTTGCCAAACAAGTTAGCATGTTTCATGTTTTTTAAAGATCTACTGACAAATAAAGGATCTTTTAAGTTGTATGAATTAGAGATTTATTACCATCTTACTAGAGACCTTCGCGGTGACTACAAATTAGATTTCTCTGCAATATGTAACATGAGCTGTTTAGCTAGTTTATAATTATTATTATATGCCTTTATATGGTGATTAATAATTCTATAAGTGTTTAAAGATTAAGGGTTTTAGAGTCAGCTTTTGGGTGTACTATGCCATTATTTTGGATCTACATTGGTTATATTAAACAAAACCAAATAAAACCCCAGTGTCCCATTTTGGTTGGACAGGGCATTTGGTAAAGAAGACTATCTATTTTTAGCTTACCAAGGGATTTTCATTCATTTTTTCAGAGCAATACAATTTAGAAGTATGTCAACAATCTACTTATAAAATACCTGTAAAGCATATATTAGCCATATTACATGGTTAACAAAGGGGTATTAATTGCTACCAAGCTTTTTTTTTATTAAGTTAAGTGGATAAGCGCTCCTCAGCTTGCAAAGAGTTCTACCTGATACCTGTGGAGTCTTCCAGCAAAAAGCTTTGAGCACGTCATGGAGAGAGGTTTTAACTCAAAACACATCTTTTGGTGTTAAACAATGAAAACATGTAACTACTAAACAGTATGTCTGTCCGTGGTAAAAGAAGCTCTGGATTGAATTACAAACCACTCAAATTCCACTGACTTCAACATGGCCGTGAACACAGCTATCTTCAAATAGTAGTTTGAAACAATAAAACAGGTTCATAAAAATATGAGGATTTCATAACTATTTGTGAAGGAGATAATTATATACTTTTTAAGGACAGTGTAACTGAAGTGCAGAAGTTTGCCCAAGGTAATAAATACAATGAGGTAATGAAATAGAACAGCTTCCTGGCATCCAGTTTTGTAAACTACAACATGAACAAACCAACTTCCTGACCTGGAGCCCTATATGTTATCCCCTAACCCACATTTTCCATCTGTGCTGCCTTTTGCCATAAGCATTACATTTTGAAAGCATTTCAACCTATCATGGAGGTTGGAATGGGCAACACTGTTGATTTACAATGGACTTGGAAGAAGCTCCCTCTTATAAACAGATTTTCATGTGTTTGCTTCTTTAATGAACATTGGTGCCTTACTTTCAACATTTTTATATACTTTCTAAATATTTTTTTAAATAATATACATAAAATAAAAGATAAGTGGAGCACCACAGAAGTGGATATGAAGCTTTGCAAAATCAAATGAGGAGCAACAGTTATTTATAAAATAAACCTAATTGTACTGCTGTACGAGCTGGTTAGTATTTTACCAATAAATTAATTCTAGTTCTTAAACATGGAGTGCTGTACAGAGCTCCATGAGCCTAGCTTTAACATCTCATACGCAAACTATGATCTGGATATTACAAAACAGCAACATCTGGTGCCAATTCCTAAAGTGCTTACAGTCCCAAAGCAATTTAAAAGCAGCACATCAGCTGTAATGGGACCAAACCAGTAGCAGACCCTTGTACGGTAACTTCCATTCCAAGCAGCAGAGAACTTCACAACTTCCCACAAGTACAGGAAAGCATTGTAGAAGAGACAAAACTAGCAGGGACATATTCACCAGACCAAACCTGTCATACACAGAGAGTAGGATCCATAATTACAAAAATCTCCCAGACTGTGCCTAGAGTGAGTCAGGAATTTTTTTTTGGCAAAATGTTTTTCCTTTGAAAATGTTTACTTGTCAAAACCAAAATATTTTACAAGTAAGTGCTGGTTTTCAGGAATTTCTCCACTTAAAATATATTTTTTAAATATAAAAATTGATCACATATTTCTTCCTGACATTGTTGACATAGAAAATTCTCATTTGCAGTGTAAAAAATCACTTTTAATTTAGAAAATATAGCTGATTATAGTAATTTTAAAACAAAACGGTGCAAAAAGATTATTAGGCACTATGAAAAAATATTTTAAACCTGAATAATGTTTTTGGCTGGCTTGTATTTTTCAGCTTGTGAAATTTTCCAGGTTTCACTTTTGTCTGAATTTCAACAAGAAAAGAAATTAAAATCTTCAAAAGTACTGCAGGACTAGAAAACTATTTTCTGCCTAGATCTGCCTGCACAAACAGCTCACAGTAGCTAGCTGCAACTGAAAATTCCCTCCCTCAAACATGATATTTTCATGAACAGAACAGTCCATTACTTGGACTTTGTTCCATTTCGCAGCAGATAGTCCCAAAAGTAGCAATATTATATTGTGGGGAAAAAAAAAACAACTTTATTTTTCTATCCCAACCTCTGATTTTTATGACTCTCTAGCTGTATTAAAATGCAGTCTGTGGACTGGACTTTAAATTTGGGAATTATTTAATTCATAAAGCTTAAAACAAAAGGAACTGGAACTCTGCCTAACAACTGATCACTGAAACTAGAAATATTTTTAAAATTCCAGCCTCATCCTTTTCACAGCTTCACTAATATATACTTCCTGGAAAAGATCTGCCTTAGCTACCCTTGCATGGCTAGAGAGAGGCACCTAGATTCAGTTAAGTTGTCCAAGTAATGTATCACTCCTTTCATTAATTATTTATAGTTATAAAATGAAAATAAAATCGGAAGACTGCAGATAAAACTTGAAACATGCCTTTCAGAAATGGTCATTCTGATTAATGAAGGAAAACATTAATTTAAAATGTACTGCCTATCGTCCAGAGACATCAACAGTCTATGTACATTTCAAGATAAAAATAAATCATCATATAAAATATATAGTTTCCTTTTCAGTCTCTCTCTATATATGAAATCTTTACTCTGAGTTTACTATTTCTAAATGAAATATATACTTTGTTTTGCTCCAACTATAGACAAATGATAATTTAGGGTTAAGGAACTAGTATCTGTACCCATGCCAGCACCAGAAAGCCCACATTCTGTGGTTATTAGTTCTCCACTATTCTCCTTCCCCTTCCCCCGAGAAAAAAAACACAACAAAATATCAGAACAGAAAGACCCATAAATCTCAGTGCCGGCACACACAACAATCCGTATGTCTCAGACCCTATGGTTTCTCCGATTAGAACTGCTTCATTCATTAACTGTTTATCCTTGAAAATAATATAATATTTACTCACTTTCAATGAATCAAAGCAGGCGATTACTCGTCCATTTTCAACTTGGCAGCTTTTCGATGGATGTGCAAATTTACATTCCGTGTCTGGTCGTGAGCAAGTCCCTCTTTGGAACTCTCTACACACTTCCAGTGTTAGCCATTTTGTGTCCCGAATCGGTGTGACACTAACAGCCATTTTTAGATTTTACAGGTAGTTAAAATTTTTCAATGTAACAAATAAACAAACAGCCAAACTGATAGACTGGTAATGATGAAAATGTCACCTCCAAAATATTTCTTTTTTTTCCCCGCTCCCTACTTCAAAAGTACATGTAAAATGGTGTTGTCACAATATCAAGGAAAAGATTTGCCACTAGAAATTCACAGCATGAAACTGTTAATTGAAAGAGGTTTTGTACTTAAAGAAATGCTAAGATCAAAAGGAAGATGAACGTTAAAAAGTGTGGCCTGGAACTAGCCTTGTGCTCTCAGTAACCCATTCTGAGTGCCAATTTGGAGCCCAAAATGCAAGCATGAAAACGTGGCAGACCCTTTGACACAGAATTTCCAAGCTGCTTTCAGTAAAGTTGTCTGAAAGGTAATCTCCACACACAGCTGAATTTGCAATTGGGTTTTGTGGTGCAATCGGTATTGATTAGTTTGGCATAGACAGATGCAGCAGTTTAGAGCAACAATCGAGAAATTATATTTTTTCCTCTCCTTGATTTTCTGGCAGAAGATATCTTACTTTTTCAGCAAACTTTTTATTTCTACACTAAAGCAGCCTAAGGCAATGCGCCTGATACTCAGAGCTTTTCTCTTGATTATAAGTAGAAATGGGGGTGTCTGGGCTATAGGTGGAGGGTGGATGTGCTGTCGTCGCAGTCTAGCTGGCAGCAAGCAAGGCAAAAAGCAGAGACTGCTCTAGAAGCGGTTCCAAGCAGCAGAGACGTCAGGAAAGGCACTTCTTAGTACCAACCTGTAGAAAAAACAGATACGTTAACATTTACCAAGCAGCATTTCACTGATGTCCCACAGCATTATACCCTGGCCGTGTGATCCTAAACTACTATGCAGAATTATAGTCTGTCTGTTTCCGTCACACAAAATACTTACAGTGTAGCATATTGCAGCCAGCCATCGTAGATTTATTAAAAAAGGGGCCGTTTTCCCTTCTGAAGCAATGCATGACAGGGAGATAACCAATCACAGATAGTGTTGCAGCAATATTCTGGGCAGAAAGCCAATAGTGTGGGCTGTCTTATGAAAGGTCGCGCCTGTCAGACGTTCGTTACTATGCTATAAGCACAGAAAATGTCCATCAGATGTGACTTATTCCACTGCAAGAGGACGAGCATGTGGGTTTTGAATTTACCCAACATGCAGTTAGTGGATTAAACCATGTTAGTTTTAAAACAGCTTCCAACACAAGCACAAGTGCCTGCAGAATCCCGACAGAAAAAGCAAGCTTCCAAACTGCAGATTATTTTCAAGCTGTTCTCTCTCCTGCTTGCCTTGAGCACAGCCAGCATACAACCTACCATATCTGATCCAAGAATATAAAAGGAAAAGGGGTGTTCACAAATGGTACGTTCTCCTGACCTATCCAATTCACTTCCTTCTAAGCCTTGAGTCGTGCCTCTACAGAAATCAACACTTGTTTAATACTGTAAAACTATCCCAGGCAGCCAGCAGACACTTTGTCAATATAGCACAGGCAGACTAGATATGAACAAAAGCACCCTTTATTTTAACCTTTCTCAAGCACAAGCCTAGTTCTTAAGGGGATTATAAGAAATGCAGCCTTGTCAGGATGTCTGGCAAAATGTAAGTTATCCTCAGGAGAGAAAGTGATTCTATCACAGTAATATTAAATATTAAGCAGGCAATTTGATTTAAGCAACATGATGCACTTCAAAATGACACTCTACTGAATTAGATGCCTGCTGGTCTAAGCTTCATATGTATGAATCAATCTCTGTACCCCTGAAAATCTTGTACTGAAATTGTACCTGGGTGGAAACAGCAAGTTTTCCTTTTAACGCTGATGACATGGTTTACCAGAAGATTTGGCAGTACCATCATCATCACATTCATAATGTTAAAACAACTGCAGCATGTCTTGCTCATTGGCAAAAATGGCTATTTTAAATTAAAAGGGTAAAAACTACATTGAAACTCCTACCTTGGCTATTCCCTGATATTAAACAGTTTCAAGCACAATTTTCATAATTTAAACACAGTATTTATTTCCTTTGCTTTTATAACAGTCTAAGATAGAATCTTGTACTGAAGATTATAAAATGCTTATTTTTTCAAGTTACTTCTCAAATCCATTGGAACATGACCTGTGTTACAAGCTTCTTAGTAGTAACAAACTTCCAAAATGACCACATATCAGTTTGTTTTAGGAACTGACTTAACAAAACTACAAATCCGCCATTAAAAGGACATAGTAAAACAATGTACTGAACAGGTACAACTGTCAGCTTTCAAATGATAATAGGGAAACACAGCAGTTTCTTAATTTGTTTTGTTTCTTCATTAAAATGCTACATGTAGAACTACTGGGAATGATAAGCCATGATAAGCAAGTTTTGTGTTAGAAATCTAAACTTTTAGAGTTCAGACTCGCAGTAAATCCAAGGTGGCAACTTAAATATTTGATCTATGTATGTATTTTTTAAGTAATCAAGTACTTGTAACTGAAAAGGAACACCTGAAAATAATTCAGTAAATAAATTTAACCCTTCCCTGGTAGGTCAAAAAGTAGAGGAAATTAATCTGATCTAAACTGACCTAATCATGACACATGGATTCTGAAAACACCTAAAAAGAATCCTCAAGAGATGGAAGTGAGTCCCTATCACTGAATTTCTAGCACTGAGGACTAATCCTACCATTTCCTGGATTTTGTCTAGTATCTTTTAGGTAACCGAACTACAAGTTCTTTCTATCCTTCTAGTAATACAATGCACAAGTTGTAGCATGTTCATTTTTGCCTTCCCCTATCAGCATCCCTAACAAAATGGCCAGTAAAGCAACTCTGAAAGCAACACTTGTTAGTTTAGCATGGCTGCAAAGCAATAATGGAGTGACATACATTAAGAACCTTTTTCAGGTTTAGAAAAGCAGTAAAATAGGTGTGGAAGAGAGTAGGAAATATAATCCTTAAAGTCTATCAATCTATCCATCAATTTCTATTTTATCTTTACTCGTAAACATGGCTCCTATGTTGTGTAAGTGATCACAATCAGGCAAACAATTTTGGGCACAATTGTTTGCCAGCAGTTTTCATTTAAACGTTTATGCACTTAATGTTAGGGCAAGGTCAGAACACTGGATGTGCAAATGACCAAAAAATCAGATGCCAATAAGTGTGAAAGTAATGTGCCAGCAGACATTTTTGTTAGTAAATGGAAGGTATGAAAAAGGCCAGACTGCGAATCATACAAAAACAGGGCTGGAAGGGACCTCAGGAGATCATCTAATCCAACCCCCTCCTCAAAGCAGGACCATCCCTAACTAGATCATTCCACCTGGGGCTCTGTCCAGCTGGGCCTTAAATACCTCCACAGACGGAGATTCCACTACCTCTTTAGTTAACTCTTTTCAGTGGTTCACCACCCTCCTTGTGAGAAAGTTTTTCCTAATATCTAAGCTCAACTTCCCTTGTTCCTACTTGAGACCATTGCTCCTTGTTCTGTCACCACTGAAAACAGTTTAGCTCCATCCCCTTTCCACCCCCCCTTCAAGTAAGTAAAGGTTATCAACCCCCCTCCTCCAGTCTTCTCTTCTGCAAACTAAATAACTGCAGTTCCCTCAACCTCTCCTCCAAAGTTATGTGCCCCAGCCCCCAAACCATTTTCACTGCCATCCACTGGACTCTCTCCAACTTGTCCACATCCTTTCTGTAGTGGATGGCCCAAAACTGGACACAGTACTCCAGATGTGGCCTCTCTAGTGCAGAACAGAGGGGAATAATTACTTCCCTCAATCTGCTGGCAACACTCCTACTAGTGCAGCCCAGTATGCTGTTAGCCTTCTTGGCAACAAGAGTACACTGCTGACTCACATCCAGCTTACTGTCCATTGTAAGTCTGCAGAGCTGTTGTTTATCCAGTTGGTCCCAAGTCTGTAGCAGCGCATGGGATTCTTCCATCCTAAGTGTATGGCTTTGCTCTTCTCTTTATCGAACCTCATGAGATTGCTTTTTGGCCCAATCCTCCAGTTTGTCTAGGTCACTCTGAATCCTAGCCTTACCCTCCAGTGTATCTACTACTTCCCCCAGCTTTGAGGGTGCACTCCATCCCACCTTACAGTTTAATGAAGCTATTGAACAAAACTGGCCCCAGAACAAAACCATCCCATGTGAAGACCCATCCCTTAACATACAATAAGGACATTCCCATCAGTTTACAAAACTTTATGCTAGATTAATTTGGCTCTAATCAAATCAATTAGGTATTTCATTATCCAGTTGAAAACCTGTTAGCAACAACAGATTTACTAACATATCCTCATCATGTTATGTCCATCTTGTACAAAAAAGCATAGTATTTCATGGATGGTATTTCATCACATTTTGTTTCCAACACTACACGTAGGAAATAAAAATAAAACTGCTTGAGATGATATGATGTAGACTCAGGTGACAAATGTCCCATAAATTAAGAGAAAGTTGTGATGCAGTCCTAATTGTGAATTCTTCTGCTTTTTCCATTTGGCACTCTCTCCATTGTATGTACTGCTAGGCCCAAATACTAAGAAGGTGTCAGAGCAGCAATTATAACACATATATTCCAGAGTGTACTGGAATAAATAGCCCCTACTCAAATCCAGGTGTATAAATTTCCACTGTCACACAGAAAGGTAAATGTGCCAACAAAATACGTGTTTGTGAATCAAGAATGGCAATTCCTTATAGAAACTGTGAGTGTATATTTGAATTGAAAATTAACTGCATAGATCAGGTAAATAATGAAGGAAAGATAATCATGCTGGACTTCCAGAGAATACGTTTAACTCCTAAACTCCCTAATGGAATCAGAATTTCAGGGTAGAGGTGAAATCTTTTATTAGACCCACTAGATATTTGCAAAAAAAGTCTTTATTTGCAAGCTTTCAGGCACACTCACCCTTCCTCAGGCACAGGAGAATGCAACAATTGTAAAATTTCTCCTAGGTGGAAATGAAAATTCATATTTCACAGGAGAGCTGAAGGTGTTGTAAGATCTCCTGGTTGGAGTAGTTCATTTTGTGCCAAGTAGGCTCAGCTAAAAGTCAGAACAGTCTATTTACCTTGATGTTGGCTGGTGTCAAGCAGGATGCTGAATTATATTTGCTTCTGGTTATGATATTTCATAATTTAGAGGAGTGTAGGGTGACAAAATGTTCTCCTGGGCAAGGAATTTCTTCCTACTTATCTTTCTGGCTGATCCTGAATAAATCACTTAAGTAAACCTCTCACTACGGTCAATGACAAATTCCTATTGAATTCAACGGGATAGAATTTTACCCTCTGCTCTTCAGCTTGCCATCTGTCAAATCCCAGTAGAGCACTTTCCCAATTTACAGGGGAGTTGTGAGGCTGAAACTATGAATGTTTATAAATCTTTTGAAAGAAAGTATTATATAAAACATAAACTTCTTACTAGTATAAATATATATTTTGCTTCAGAAATTACTTGTCTGTTAGCAAACTGTTTGGCAGAATTTATTTCTGAAAATTTAAAAAGTGAACTCCAGCGAAAAACAAGGACTGAATTAAGAGCAAATGTATGCACTGAATATTTTCAATAATATAGCTAGCGGAATAAACAACACAGGAATACATTTACCAAACTTTCTAAGCTTTTTCCCCCCAACTTGAAATTCTCTTGATACTTTCTGGCTCAATAAGGGTGTCACAGATAGCATTAATTTGTGACACATCAAACATCACCAAAGAACTAACTGTATGGCATGGGCTGGAATGAG